GAGCCGAATGGAATTCTGCCGAGAGCATTACTCAGCCTGGCGCGTGATTAACGATCACCGTTCACTAATTGTGGAGGCATCTGCACACCTACCTTTGCTCTTTGCACATCAAATTCCTATACGTTTTACACGCTCTTCATATAATCGAGGACATTACAAATTCGATTTGTATTTTTTTACGCATGAAAATCTTTCGCAGCTCGACTAAAATTACAAAGCCAATAATGAGTGGAGATGGCGCAAATGACACATTACTTTACAGAGGAGTAGACAGATCAGCAGCAGTCAGCCAGATTAAACGGGCGTGAGTTCTAAATTCAGAGGAGCAGAGGAAAAATGCACGAATAAAACCAGCCTTGCGAACTAATTAAGGCCCTCTCGCAAGCGGCAGCTTAACCGAGGTGCTGACACAGCACGCAAATTTTCAGCTGCTCCCAAATCCCATCTAAAACCCCTCTCACAGGGTTCGCCAAATCCCAAGCTCAATACAGAGATCTGTGGCGTATGCTGCCCCGCTGCAAACATTTTTTACGCTACGCTAAATGAGCCCTTTAATGGAATACAGCGCCCCGTACCGGAGTTAACCTAAACCGGGCCCGACAGTGGTTGATGTTGATAAACTCGGGGCTCGGTTTGAGATGTGCTCCCTTTTAAGCACAAGAAAAAGAGAGCCCCCCCACCACCTCCGCTCCAACACAAGCGGCGCCTTTGATTTCGCTCCACAATAGCGGTATTCAGCCGCCGTTTCCAAGCAGTTTGTGCGAAACGAGCGTCGGTACGCGAGCGCAAGCCTCTTGCAAAACACAACGAAAACGCGTTTGGTTAAATGTCAGCGTTAAAATACTGGGTGCTCAGCGATGCATTAAAACCCAGCGTTTGTAAGTCATAGGACAGGGCGCCTGTTTTCGGTATAGATTACAAAGCGTTTTCAAAAAAGCCAAAGTTATCACAAGGAGCTGTGTCAAGGTGCACGACCAGTTTGTTTGGATAATGACACCGAGCACGGGACAGTGAATCCATTTACAGTATTTTAAAAATAAAGTTGAACACCTTAATTATCGGGAGACCTCAAGTGGAGAATAATTAGGATACAAATATAACGACCCTACTGTACGTAATTATTTTGTTTAACGGTTACAAGATTACGCCAGAGGTGACTGCATCCCTTTCCCAATCCCAAACGTAAATATCCCAAGCAGACCGTAACGCGGCTACGCCGCTGCACTGAAGCGACTGACAAGGGCATGCGGAAGATGAAATCTACATGTCAGAGTTTACAGCCCTCGATCAATCCACTGCGAAATGAAGGCCTCCATGTCGGGACAAACGTGGGGATTTTGTGTCACCATACTTCACCACTCTGGATAGTGCGAGTTGGTAAAGGAGGTGCCCAGGACCAGTTCAGGTATCACTCGCCACTGATTTTGACTGTAGCGGGAAATCAAATTCATGTCACCGAATTGGAAGTGCAGTGTGTCAACCGCTACCTCACCGCTGGAGCCCATATATTTCTCAACAATAATCCCACCACGTATATTTCAAGTTTCCTTTGTTTAACCAGGTGAGAACTCAAAAGCCCAGGAGAGTCTCATTTGCAAGAGTGACCTGGGTATGTCTGAGAGCAGTAGGCTGAACATTCAAATCAAGTGCCCACCAGAAGGTTCCTCGCTGGCTACCCAAGGGTCTCACAATGCTGAAAAGTGCGGCCGAACATTCTGTCCAAGCGTGCGCCCTGTAACACAAGACAGCCGCTGCTCGGGCCTGGTCGCCTAATTCTTTCTCATCGTACCTATGGCCCTTCTAATGGAAAGAGGCGTCCATTCGGCACAGCGGCGCATGGCCTGCGAACACAATTTTGCTTTCATCCGTACATCCAAGCCCTGGCTTGTGACAAGACCCAGAATGCCGGCTCGTAACTGAAAGCGGCTGTTTGATGCTGCCTGAATACCGTATTCATCGTCCCGTGAACAGATGACTTCAGGGCCACTATTAAAGTCCTTGCCCGCCTGGGGGCGGCCACCTTTTTTTCGAAGGCAGCAGCAAATAAGCTTGGGTTTCAAGCCAAATAGCACGGGGAGGGGAGGCGGTGGTTGACCGGCCGGTTCTTCGGTCAGACGGCCGACCACGGCGCTCACGCAGGCAAGCAAGCAAGCTCGCTTCTCAGCCCCTAAAATTATCCCGAAGGCATCACTTGCCGTGCGGGCCGAACGGGCGAGCGAGCGTATCGATTTCTGCAGAGAGGCCACGGCGTGTCTTACGGCTGACCGTGCCACCTGGCTCTCATACCAAGCCTCCGCGTGACCGCAATTACCAAAGCGTTACCTTTCACGCTTTAAAGGGACGCGCGGAGGGCCGTTGCGACGCGCCGGCGAGGCATCTTGCCTTTCACTTTGCACGAATTCAAGTCGTGGGCCACGTACGCCTCCGTCAGACTTATTATAAACGCCCAAGGCACATTACCGGGTAATTACTAAAGCATATGGCAGCTTGACTAAGCCGTGCCTCTCATGCTTATTATTATTACAGTGTTCCATGACAGGCATCCTTCTGTCCGGGGGAAAAGAAAAAATATATTTGTACGTGGGGGGGACCAGCAACAAGGCTTTGGATGGCCCTGGCTGGGATTTGGACGGCCACCAAAACCGGGCGCTGCTGTTGCCATCCCCGATAACAGTGGGCGAGAGTTGGGCCCGGCACGACAGAGCCCTTTAATTAATCTATTAAGTCACGAGGGGTCTGCGACAGGAGGTGATTAGGGGGCCGGGTGAGATTAGGCTCATCCCAGATTTCTGCTCGCTTATACAAAGGCAGGTCATACCGCATGCAACAGCAGCCGTGTGCTCGCCTAACCTTAGCCAGCCACGGGCAAACAGGCGGTGGGGAGGAGGGGATGGGTGGATTTATTGATTAAACAGTGCGCTATTTTGAGGGGTTATTTCAGCGATGGTGCATCTCGAACCTGTGTACTCGTAATTAAGGCCAGCTGCTGGTTTTGCCGGCTTGCTTTTGTGAGCAATCAGATGGAGAGATTGAGGGAGTGAAGCAACTTAAGGGCGAAAAGCCGTCAGCCGCTGCGCGTTGATGTCAGAGAACACTCATCCCCTTTGTCCCGGGCTGTCCACATTAATGTTTGTTATTCCGCGATCCCATCGCCGCCGCCTCCGCCGCCGCTCTGGGACCAAACAATGTCGGCGTCGGAACAAAAGTTGGCTCTCATCAGTCCGCCGCGTTCGTACGAGACGCAACAAAGCCGGCCTCATCTCCCTCCATCACCTCGACTCCACCATCTCCCCCCCCACTTTTATCTCATCCTCATATCTCCCACTCCCTCCATCTCTCGCTCTCTCTCTCTCCCTCCAATGCCACCCCCACGACGTCTCTATCCTCTCTCAATGTCTCTCCCGTTCGTTTCTCCTCCGTCTTCTCTTCACCTCCGTCCTCGTCTCTTCTCCCTTGCCGGTCGATATCCTCTGCATATCTCCACTCTCCACCTCCTTCTAACGTCCCTCATCTACACTTCCCTCTTCGGCTTTCCTCTCCTCCCCAGCTGCCTGCCCTGCATCTTCCTCGTTCAACTCTCGTCCACCATCTACTCACGCATCTCCCTCATCTCTCCGTTCTTCATCTCCCTCTAACCCCCCACACCCCCCCCCCCCGGGCACACGACAACCCCATCTTCTCAACCGATCTCCCGCTCCATCTTTTCTCCTCTTTCCCCTATCTCCTTGCTCCATCTCCTTCCCCTATCTCCCTCCTCTAGGACTACCATCGCTGTCAAAGTCCACCCAGCCCCGCGACCGTTCGTGCATGGGGGGGGGGGGGGGTCGTCGCTCCGTGCGCCTGCGTCTAACGCGGCGGCGACGACGCGAATCGTCGAAGGATGGTGACAATGAAGCCACGAGCCAGGGACGAGTCAGCAGGAGGAGGAAAGAGAGGGGTTATTGTTTGGCTGCCAACGCCATGCGACGACCCCCTTTCTCTCTTGTCATCCTCCCTTCATGCTCCCTGCTGCTGCTGCTGCTCGCACAACTGAGCCGCAAACAACCACCGCCAGCCACCGCCGTCGTCTACGCGGCTCCGTGTTGAAACGCCTCGTCCCGTGTCTCCACGTCGCCACCACCGCGAGGATTAAAGGCGGCGAACACCGCACAAAAGACGCCATCGGTTCCGCAGTATAAGTGGGGGGAGGCTTGCCCCCCCCCCCATTTCCACACACAAAGAAAAAGACCCCCCCCCTAATCCCACACCACACCCGTTAGTCAAATTGAATAATGGGTAAAGTGATGTTAGCGAAAAGCTATTCCAGCCGGCGGCGGCGGTGACGGGGTGGTGGTGAACGCCACGAGCCGCCGCCTTTGTCTCTCCCTAGTGCCGATGTCTGCACGTCCCCTGGGGAGGCCCACGACAAGTTGTGATATCAACATCCACAGAGCCAAGCCGCGTGTCCGGGAGTCGAACCCAGGTCGACAGGGTTCGTGGCACAGATCGATAAGCACGACGCGATGTACGTAACCCACACACAGCCACATTACAGCAGAGACACACAGTAACACTCCCACACACTCCCAAGAAGAACACAAACACACACCACCGCCAAGACACGCACACATTAAACACCTACCTACCAGAGACAAAGATGCCCCCGTGTAGCCGCAAAGGCGATTGAAGGAGAACTGCTGTTAGCGAGCACCTATCCACACCCACTGTAGTAATACTGTGACCCACACAATTATACACACACCCGAATACCACACACCCGAATACCACACACACGACACGAACATACACGCCACGCAATACACATCGCAACAAGCCCACATTCAACACAAAGACACACAAACACTGCCAACACACCCCTATACAGTGCACACCACACTGACACACACCGCTGTCCGCACAAGAGACTCTCTCTCACCCCCCCCACGACAACACAATAGCACCACCATCACCACCACCACACCACCACCATCACCACCACCATCACCACCACCATCACACACCTTATCCGTGGGCGCTCTTCAGTGGTGCCGGGGCCGCGATGCATGGTAGAGACGCCCGCCGGAGGCTCCACCACGGGCCCGGGCCCCCCCGACCCCACGCGGTGCCCGCGTCCTCCCCTCCACCACAACGACTCGCTCGGACTCGGAGAAGGCCGGTCGCCCCCAGTCGTCGGTCAACCCAGACTCGTCCACCGGTTACTCAACCGGTTCACCAGCACAGCCAACGAGCCGGATCAGCGTCAACCCCCGGGGGGGGGGGGGGGGGGCAGGGCTTCAAGCAGTGAACAGAGCCAGCTGAGCCAGCCAAGTTAGTCAACCGACCAAGTCAACAGCTGGACAACCCAGCCGCCAGTCTGCTAGTTAGTTGACCGGGGTCAGCCGGTCAACCAGCCCAGCCACTCAACCGGCCGGTCAACAAGCCGGTCAGTCAACCAGGCAGGCCGCCGCTGGCCCCCCACCAGCTGACGACTAAAGCTGCGGAGTCGGCGATACAGTCCGGGCTGTCTGGCTGCCCGACTGGCCAGCAGACAGAGGCGGACGACCAGAATGTGGTCTAGCTACTCTCGCAGAGCGGACGGGCGGCGGGGAGAGCGCGGGGCCGGCGCGCCGCTGCTGCTGCTGCTGCCGCCGCGGCTGCTTCTGCTTCGCTGCTGCTGCTGCCGGGGTCGCGAGTGGGGGGGGGGGGCGCGAGATGCAGGCCCCTCCCCTGTCCGAAGCCACGCCCCCCCTCCTCCGCCACCTCTCTCGCTCGGTGACGGCGAGACGCGATCAGTCGACCGTCGTCGTGCCGATCGCTACCGGCGAGCGGAGCGCGCTCAATCGAGACAGTCGGACACTCGATTGTCGCGCCTCGTCCTGGTCGGCGCGACGCGACGCCGGTGACGCAATGCCCCGTGCCGTGACGTCCGTTGGACGGAAGTGCGTCACGAGGAAAGAGGGGGTGGGGGGGTGAGAGGAGGAGGAGGTCGCCTCGCGCCGCCGGATCACGTGACACGAGGGAGCAGAGGGGGGATTGAGGGGGGGGGGGGACTGACGCACGGTTTATATTTCCCAATGCAGATTAAGCGCGTGACCGTCACGCGTCACGTGCGGCGCGCACCAATCGGCGCGTGAGGCCCCCCCCCCCCGTGCGTGTGCGCGGTGGGAAATGTGGAGCGGTAGCGCGCGTCCCCTCACGCCTGTGTGTGAGGGCAGCAGCGGCGGCGGCGGTGGTGCCTCGATGGAAACATTCGGACGGAGAGATGAGGCGAGGGTCTCCCTCCAACGGGCACCGTCAGCCACGCACACGATGCCTTTCCCCCTGCCATGGCCCCGTGTGCTACTGAGCGACCACTCGCTCACCCAGCCCCCCTCGCCTACCACAACCGACGAGACAAAGCAAATGGCTACTGCTGCTTGGTTGATGAACAGCGAGCTGAGCTGCTTGACTGGGGAACAGTCAAACTCGCAATGTCTTACCCCCCCCGCCACTACGTAAATGCCCACTCTTTCGCCAGCCCCATTGCCCACACCAGACAAGCCAACTTATTACATTTTTGCCTGACAACGAAACGGTTGCCAGCCATGTGGAGTTGTTACCGGGTGCCTTGATAGGGCTGCCTGCCAGGTGTCTCTACGGTCGCTCTCGGCTATGGAGACCACGGAGCCAGAGTTTTACTTTGTGTTCCTCCTCACAAATGTCAACCACGATACGAGCATTGTGTAAGCGGTGTACCGTGTTTGCTGTGCGAATTACCGCAAAGCTCCCACCGCCCAAAGCCTTTCATTGTCTTCAAATCCTGCGTGACCTTGCTTCTTAGCTCTTTGAACTACATCGTTCCCATTCGGCTTTAGCAACCGCCACTTGCCCCGACCATCTCTCGTTTAGCCTCTCCCAGTCAATATTTTGTCAGCCACTCATAATTATGATTGGCACATATTTTTTTCCATAGACCAAACCTGAACATTTCTCAATTCTCAATTGTTTTATTATGTTTTATTTTTATTATTTTATTACTTCCCTTCTACGTGACTTTACCGAAAGAACCAAGAAGATTTCTCAGTCAGCCGAGTTCTATCAAAACTGTAGTCGAATGCAATAAAGTTCAACATACTATCACCAGATCTCGGTCCAAATCAATTCCTGGCACCCACCACAGATTCCAATTTAGAAGCAACCTGCCACTCCTCTCAGCCCCTGGGCCGAATATCAGCCAGATTTGTCAAGGTTGGGGAACCAAAACATATTTCTGCAACCGACGAGCCGCATCATCATAACCCTCGCTTTGGCTGTGGCTTATTTCCTTAGCGTGCTATTAACTGAAGTATATTAGTGGAAATATATTCAAACATATACATATTCACTCCCAAATTAAGCCCTGTCTCAACCTATCCCAGTCTGCCTCCTTATTTCCCAGTTTTTTTCTGTTCGTCTTTCTCAGTCTCTAAATATCACCCACAGCTGGGATGACTGACATCTGAATAAAGTTACTTTTTGTGTTTGAATACTCGGGCCCCTTTTTATAACTGGTGGCCGCCACATCCTGCCTCCCGAAGGCAGGAAACCCCCTAGAATGCAATGGCATCAGCAAGCCTTGACCATTACCTCCTGTTTGGCGGCACAAGTGGGAACAGATGTGACATTATTTTCTCTCCAGCTGTTATGCGTTGTCCGATTCAAACTGATAATCGGTAAAGTCATCGATTACTTAATTTCATCTCAGCATTAGACTCTCCCAGTCTCTCTCAATCTCCCTCAGTGTATCTCCTCTGTCACAAACCTCGGACTTGTACCGTGTGTACTGTTCCCATAGACTTCATTCATGAATTCCTCCTCCCATGTTGAGGACTCTTGTCTACCAGAGTTACTGTTTTATCTCATTCATTCTGTGTTCAGCCATCACACTGCAGGCGAGAACACTTCTCTGCTTTCCTCGCACTGGTATCTATTTGCTAGGCTTTAAATATTAGCCTTGCTCAATTCAAGGCATGTTAACTATTTCAACTTTAATAGTGCCGTGTGTTGCTGGCCGCTTGGCGTTTTGGGCCAACTGTGCTCAGCAACCGTGATAATAAAATAAAACCTGCGGGGCCGACGGCGCTTTAACCCCACGAGGTGCCAGGCCCCATGGAGCCCACTCGCTCCCCGTGCCAGCAGACTGTGGCAGCAGGCTTCAAGGGCTCGGGGTTATTAATGTTTAAAGCGCTTCCCCTAAAGCGGGGAGTAAAAAAAAAGATGAGTGTCTCCATGGCAATGGTGTGCGTGACAAACGGACACCCTGTCGGGCGTGATGCATTAGGCTTGTGGGCAGAGAGTCTCAGTCACACACACACATGCACACGCATTGGGATGTTAGCACTCTTGACAAGACAAACAGGTGTGGTTTCCCACACTGGGTGCAGCTGAGGTGTGACCCTCCATCATTTGGATGGTGGTGGTGATGATGGTGTGGGTTTAAAGAAGAGTGCAGTGCGATATGAGGCGGTAGTAGTGCCTGTCAGAGTGGCTGTAATCCAGACTGGGTGCAGCTCAGGAGAATGAGTGACCTCACCGTTTGGGTGGTGGTGATGATGGTGTGAGTTGAAAGAGTAGTGTTTTCCAGAGTGGATGTAACTGTAAGGCTATTGAAATACATATTATAAAACTATCTTGCCATTTGTCGGCTACGCATGCGCATAACTCTTTACAAAAAAGTCACAGCCTTCATGCTCAAGTAATTGTTGGGTGGTGATAATCTTTTAAAAATATATCAATTCCACATTCCGATGCCAAAATCTCAAGAGCTCACAAATCATATCTGAGGGCCAAATCTCATTGCCGGTTTTTTTCCCTCTGATGTTTTTTCACGTTGTCCCGCGTGTTGTTTGGCATGATGTCCGGCGTTTCGCTTCACGTGCTGGCAGCTTCTTCAGGAACTTAATTCTGTTGGGAGCGTTTTCCTTCTGCTGGGAGATTCTTGGAGAAGTTAATTCAGTCGGGTGTGAAGCATCAGACATCGCGCCGAACACGGGGTATAGCCTGATAACACATCCTATAGCCGTACAGCACGACTGCGAGAACATACGCGTTCGTAATTGCTGGTTCTAATTCATTAATAAAGTATCCGTGCTTTGTTGCGTCAATAACTCAATTGCCCCTCTCCTCCCACGCCACTGCAGTTTATCCACTGACCAGTAGGCGGAGGAGCGTTTGATTAAGCCCATACGCGACATTCCTAAAATGCGCTCGTCCATTGATTCAAGGTTAACAAAACACAATCAGGGGCACAGTCTGTGCGGATGCGCTTATTAAAGGTTGTGGGAGGATGGAGGAAGGTGTGGGGGGGTGCATCTGCTGTGGCCAAATATTGGAATTCTGTGCCTCTATTAGCAAATCACTGACGCTGTTGCCATGCAATCGACAAGAGCATGCACGTGCACAACGACATGAATGCAAGTTATTTATACCACTTATTTATCCAGGAGAGCCTCACTCAATCTCAAGACTATTTTTCAGAAGGGTCGTGCTACAGTAGAATTTGTTGCCATTACCATGAAGGTGTGTTTTGGCTTCACATGGAAATAAATCGGGGTATCTGGACAATATAACCCACCACACCACGCAAACAAGGGGAGTGGTGACACTCAGCACTGCCATCTCGTGGTCACACCTTGCAGCCCCGTGCCTATAACAACTGCCAGGCACAGGCGGCCACCCACACCGGTGCTTCGCAACCAGTGTGCCGTGGTATTCTATGAATAGGAAAGAACCTCACTATACTCATTGGGTTTTTTCGGTAAAGTCACGTATGTGGGGAAAAAGATGTATACAATTTTTATTTATTTTTATTTTATTTCCACATACGTGACTTTACTGAAAAAAACCGATGATTATAGTAATTTCTGCAGTCACGAAAGCTTCAAGCGAGGACAAACTCACCATGCCATTCAGTGGCCGATCCAGACCCCACTCCCCACATCCCCGCCCTCCCCTCTCCCCTCTCCATTGGTCACGGCGCAATGCCACAGCGACACAATGTGTTACCACCCATCCGGGGCCAGGGTGATTGTTTGGTTTGGTGTGCCGCGAAGATCGAGCAGGCTCGAAAGTGTGACGTGGAGTGAAACAGGTTGGGAAGCACGAACCCGACTCAACCTCATTATTAAACTCATTTATAATGACATGGTCGATTTTATGGAAATCAGAAATGGCACTCTCTGCATAGTTGCAAACTAAAATAGCTGGAATCTTGATTTGGAACGTAACCTTTTTCTAAACAGCTACAGTCTACAAATATGCCCATGTGTTTTCAAACGACGAAAATCAACCGCATCATGCGTTATTTATACTGATGAGCTCTAACTTGAAACTTTGTAATCAAGCAGTTAAGACTGCGTTGTCAGTCGATGATGATGAAGTGTATTATTAACATATCCACTGGACAATTTACTTTGGTACACGAATGATTTATCTCAATCGGACCCATACTTGTTAATATAACATTGCATGTTCCTTGGGTTACTATTTACACTTTTTTCTTTTTTTTTCCTTACAATTTAATAGCTAGGCACGTGGACATTACAATGTTCACATAATCATCACCAGAGGAGACCCAAGCCCACAGTAGACAGCAAGTGACCACCCCTAGGCAGTGTTCTGTAATTAACGCTGTTATAGAATCGCCATTCCCATCCACGTACTTGAGTTTGTTAAATTTGAATGACAATGCCTATGATTACTGTTGTTACATTGTTTTTATAGCTTTATTTTGGTGATTCGAAAAATATGGTTAATCTAAATTGTCTTATGGTTGTTATTGTTGACTTGCACCACATTGGGATTTTTGCACACAGCGTTTTAATACGTTTT